ATGTTTCGCGTTATCTTATTCGTGGAAAATGAAAAAAATGGTCCTATCATTCCATTATATAATGTCAATGAACGACTCCGTGCCATGTTTGGAATATCAGACCGATCCATATCGAACTTAAGAAAAGAGATGAACGAGCTACAGCGCCAGGAAGATGAAAGAGAATCTCAAAGAAGTCGAAGAAGATCAACCACATCTTCACCTATTGTGCAATCACATCGAAAACTGACTTGGTCATCCTCATTACCAAGACCAAGTGCCAATGTTCCAGAACCACTTTCTCCAAAAAAAGCAGGACATAGTGGAAGGAAGTCTATTCAATTGAGTGAATATGCAGAAGACATGATCAGACTCCAGTTTCATACGATACTCTCTAAAAGAGAATATCCAACAACGACCAAATTATTGGCATGCATAAAATCGAACTGTCCTGGTTTCCCAATTGTATCAAAAACAACGTTATGGCGACATTTGTAAAATGTATGCGGAGAATAAATCATTGAGAGTTAGGAACATAAACCTTTTTGTTTCATTTTAGCTTGGCTTTGTACATAAGAAGACGTCGAACATGAAGATACCTCTCGATGATATCAGTTTTATTGCTGCACGTGCACGATATTTTCGGATATTAGATGAGCTTCGTGCCGATAATGCTATAATATTTTATCAAGATGAAACATGGAGTAATGCTGGTGATGAGAAGAGAAGCATTTGGATAGCTGAAGGTGGTAGTGGGCGTTTGAAAAAGTCTGATACGAAAGGTGAGATTGAAAAGATGATCATTTATTTGCATACAATACTGTTGAATCAATCTTTCCCAGGTAAAAGGCTAACAATAAATGGAATCATCAATGAAATGGGATTTCACTTGGATTCATTGGATATATTCACATGTGATGCTGAACATACAATGGACGCATCTCGTTTTACAAAATGGATAACTGAAACCTGTTTCAAACTAAGAAAACAATACGGTATTCGATAGATTACTTAAAAACCATATTTAGTAATGTTCTTACTCGCTTCTTCTTAGGTAATAAACCACGTATATGTCTTGTTATTGATAATGCCACGTGGCACAATCAACAAACGGATGATTCGAAAGTGCCAACACGGTCATTGAGAAAAGTGGCGATTCAAAATTGGTTGGACCAACGTAATATCGAATATGAGCCAGTGTTGACGAAAGCCGAATTACTTGAGATAGCAGTGAAATTTGCTCCTCCACGACGATATAAAGTGAATAAAGTTGAAAGAATGTGAGTAGGTCTCATATATTTTTTTAAGGTTGATGAAGCTGCTCAGAGATTTAATGTGGAAATCTTACGTTTACCAGTGAAACATAGTGCATTGAATCCGATTGAATTAGCTTGGGCTGGACTTAAAAATTACATACGTGATAATAATATGAATTTTCGACTCGTTGATGTTCATAATTTGACAATGGAATATTTGGCAGCTGTCGATGGACCATTATCAACAAGTTATTTTCAACATATTAAAACATATGAAGATTCATTCAAAGCTGCAGATAAATATGTTCAAGAAGTGGTTGATCCAACGCTTGATGAGAACGATGATGAAACCTTCGATAATGATAGCAATGATGATGAATCGGTTATTGATTCTGATGATTTAGATGATGATGATAGCTCAGATACATGAAACTTTTGTTCTTGTGTTTCGCGTTTTCTTTTGTCCAATCATAATTGAAATCAAAAGCGTCGTAAGCCAGAAGTCATTACTTAAATTTTTCGTAGAGAATTTGGGTACAACTTTATATCTGGTATAATATCCGTACATTCATACTATGCTCTTAGTGATTCAATCTAATGTGAGTGAATTTAACTGTATACAAAGTGACGAAGGATTAAGATTTCACATAGAACACTATAAATCTTTGTGTGCAGTAGTGCCTTTCATACAAAATAACCATTACTATGCGATCTATTGTCAATGCTTAACTCTATTAACAACTATTTTCTGTTTGCACAAACTAGAAAATAAAGAAATAAGTGCACTTCAGCAAAAATAGGATATCTTCCAAACCACAGTAGCTATCAAAGTTGGGCTTGTGTAGATTGATAGCAGAGGCTATAGCCTATCTATCCATCAGGTAACGATTAAAAAAAACAATTGAGATGCCATAATTTTATAGCTGACTCTTTCAAAGATTCAGGAACTGCGGTACCTTCAAAACAAGACCAATTCTTGGCTTGCTCATAGACTTGTGCCCCCACGAGTCCTCTATCGATTGGTGAAAACCGCAGGTCTCTAGCTCATTGCGTTCTTGAGTTATTCAAAAAACGGTGAGACGCATTATATTTTGAAACGGACAGTAGAAAATATCAAGATCTAACAATACTAGACATGTTATTATTGAAGAGAAAGAGTGATCTGCAGTTATTAAGTCAATTTGTTTAAAGAAAGAGTGGAATCGATACAAAGAAAAATTAGAATAAAATTGAATAAAGCAGAATTTTCGAATCAAATCTATTAGTAAAGAATAACGTTAGTCTTTTTTAAGTAGAGGGTTTTGTATTTCTTTTTGCGCTTATCTCAGAGAAGGAGAATGATTTTGATTAGTTTAATAGTTATGAGTCACCTAAACTATCGAATAAGACATCATGTTTAATATGCAGCAGAAGACAATTGAATTTTTCCCTTTTCTTTGTTTTTGAATTTCACGTTTACTGTAATAATGAATTATGATTAATTCAAATTCTGAGATATGATTGTTAGATAGATTTAGTATAATTATAGATATAGATACATAGTCAGACGTTGTTTTCATAGATTATGCGCTAACTCTCGAAGAAATTTTGCATAAATGTGTTTTATTATCTGTACATTTATTCGTAGTTCAGATAAATTTAAGTAATCGTTAAAACATTCAAATTTTGCCATAAATATGATCATAGTAACGGGGAAAAGCGAGACTTCAGATGTGCCTGCTCTAGCTGTACTTCACTTTGTTCCACTTGTACTCCAGATTTTTTTTCGAGAAGACGTAGTCTTGCTGTTTATTCAATGATATCAAACACTAGTAGTCTAGAAACGATGGTTTTAATTATAAGATTTCGATAGAAGCACCAAAAAAAACAGAAATATGAAAATTAGGTTAATATACATTGACTAAAGTGAAAGATATAATAAAAAGAACATTTGTCAATAAGGATTAATAAGAAGACATAATAGAATAAAAATTATGATACAGTCAATGTATTTTGCTTATAGAAAAAAGAAACATCTACGAACTGATCGTATCTAAACAAATACTTTCAGAAAAACCAAAAGAAAAATTTCATTAAATTTATTATCTGATAAACAGAAATATTTAGCAAAAAGAATTATTGAGATAAGGCTAAATTTATGCGTTTTAAATGATAAAGGGTACAGTTTAAAATAATTATAAATATTTTTCTATATCAAGTAGTATCTTAATTAAGAGAACCATCGAGTATACGAGGCATTCGATAAAAAAAAAAATTTTTTTCTGCATTCAATGCATATCGATGTATGAAACCACCAATCCTAAAATTTTAGCGTCCAGCATGCTTTCTTCCGAAAGTTAGTCAATAACTGACTTTTTATGAGTATCTACAGGTGGCAGAGCAATTCAAGTCTAGGGTAGACTCAACTTTTTAGCCAAACAACATCTGCCCGTGCGAATAAATAGTTAAAACCGGATTAAAATTGTTTATAGTCATAAGATTTTAATTGACTTTTTGTGATAAATGAAAAAATCTTCGCATGATTTCCATCGGTTTACAACATTTAGACTGTTGTTTTTTATAAAAATTTTAATCGATTATTATCGGAATAAACCGTATAATCCATGAAGTTTTGATATTTTTTTCGATTTTTTTTTTATTAAAACTATTTAAAAAATGATTAAAAATCTGTAAAAGCCGCCTAGTTATAATCAATTTTTAATCCATCCCGATTTAATTTCAGTCCTATCTCTATGTACATGGATACGAACAGATTAAAAAGGATTTTTGTTTATTTTTTTATAATATTGAACGTTATAAGTTTTCTTCCTTGTTTGTCAAGAAGAAATAAAACTATTCAGCAGTATAAGATATTTTCTTATCTCGATTTTTTGTAAGAATATCAAAACGTATGCTTAATTAAGTTGATGGCAAGGTTTTAGTTGGTTCTAACTATATTATTTCTGTGCATAATTCCGGATTATCTTTAGTATCATTTGACATCTTAAATTAAATCCCAACAGTAGATGAATTTTCATCAAAACTATTCTTGGAGTGTTATTAATGTTGAAAAGAAAAATAAATTCTGACCTTGTTTACCTGGTATCAGTGTAGAAAAAGTGTAATATTATTGAAATGTTTAAAATTCAAAAATTATTTTAAATGGAAGTTTGCAAAGAAACAATTTAATTGTCTTATCTTAAAAGAACCAAGAATTCCATATGATCAGAGATGATAACAAAATCCAATAAATATCTTATTGAGTACAACTTAGTAGTAACGAAAATATGAACTGACCTTCTAAAAGTACATCTTTTGTCAGAAAAATATGAAAAGCATACAATAATAGAAAGTTTTTATATTTTATGGAGCCTACTCAAGTCTAATAGCTCCGCCGCCTAGGCGAGTATATCACATATTTATGAGAAAAATGCCTGATAAAGTTGTTCTTATTTTCGTTTCAAATTTTTCATAAATTGTACTAAAAAATAGAGGATTGAAAATTGAACAAAATAAACTATTTCAATATAATACAATGTTGATCGAGTCAAGTATTATTAGGTTAGCGTGAATGAAAATAGGTCCTTTCAATGAGCCTGAAATGTCCATTTAATAACAATCTATTTTCTTTTACGTTTTGAAAATCATCGAGTTCCAAGCTGAATTTTATATATATTATGCAACGTATTATTCCCTTGAAGATGATACCTTCGAGGCAAAACAGGATTCACATCTTTCTCTCTTGCATAAAAGTATTTTATAGTTTTCAATGGGCAAAAAAAGGCTTTTTTTAGCGGTTTTCATCGCCATAATATAATTTAAAGCCAGGTAAACACAACATTCAGAGTAATCTAGCAACACATTTCTTTCTGCTTATCTCTTACATGTATATCTTCATATTCTTTTCTACTCTGGAAACAAGTTCTGTTTTCCTGAAATAAAATAGAAATAAAATATAGCTTAGAGAAAATATTAACTTTTTTTGCTTTTGAATAATTGTGTGTGAAATCTTTAGTATAAAGATATGGAAAAATTTTGAATACATCTTCAGTATTATTGATTTATCTCTCATCAAGACAATACATGACCATCGTATACAAACATATTGATTTTTAGAACAATTATTTATAAGTAGAACTATCTACAAAAAATTTTAATCTGATTCACGTTTGAGATTATTGAAGGTGCATTAATAATATGTTCAGAATATTCTAAAACTTCGATGGAAAAACAGAACATGAATAAATTTTTAATAATTCAATAATTTGAAACATGTAATCGACTATTTGCTGGTATTTGAAAAAAAGATATTATATGGAATTTTCTGAAAAGTCGCTTTATTTTAGATAGGAATTTTTATTGTTCTTACAGCATGATCTTTAGTAGATATCATCTTTCACGCATCCACACAAAAAAATTCACATAACATTAGATAAAAGGAATATGACACGCATTGCATAGAACCAGATTTTTGAATCACTCATAATAGGAAAAATATTACCAAAAAATTCACGTACTTTACAGTTGAAATTTGAAGAAGTTTCATTGTGTTGAATTATTTACTTGAGCTATGTCATGACTCAACATACTATTGAACAAACTTTGCAAATAACTACACGGCGTGACCAATTTGATAGTCGACACGGCATATTACTGCATAAGTCTTCACCATGATTCGTTGTAATCGCTCAGCTTGCTTTTCGTTAGCAAAAGGATCATCATTTCTGCTATTCTTTCTACCATTTCACAAACTTACAGAAAACGGTGACATACATACTGTGTTTTTATAACGTTTACAACCTTTTATGATGCTGTTTTCTTGAACCTGGGCAGAGAATTTGATGCTAATAGACTTTCACTACTAACATGAACTTCAATGGCTTCGTCTTGTGCCATGCCTGTAAAAGGCAACATTCAGAATATACCTTATCTACTAAAATATCATCTTTACTTGGTGTTTCTTTGCCAAATTTGACTAACAGCTTTCGTTTCATAATTGTAGATAATTGAAGCTTGGCTACTAATACAAATAATTTGTATTCGAATATTCATAGGTAGTTTCATTTTATTTGAAATACATGGAACAAAATTTTCATCAGTATGGGATCAAATGATGAAAGAAACATATAAATCGATTAAATTACTAAACAATTATTCAAATTTATTTTTCTGAAAAGCTTGTGAAACAATTCTGTAATTCTAAAAAAATAATATTTTATTTTTTTTTATCATGAAATCAGATTTTCTTAAATTATGTAACGTTAGAATTACATGAAACCGTTAAAATCAATCGAGCCT